TCGTGTCCTTTACATGTACTCGTCTTTTGCGCTGTATTTGCTGTAAGGAATTACCAACCAGCCCAATTACCAACCCTAGTCATCATTACAGACATGTCCCAACAGAGTACTTGTGAAAAAAAAATGATTTTACAGACAATCGTTTTGCAGTGTATAAGAGAACATAAGATTCTTAATCCTGCATACAAGAGTTGGTACTTCTAGTACACCTATACTAATTAAAAAAAATATTCAACGTTTCTGCAGATTGTTTTTGCATTCCGATAATCATTGTTGGGGTACCCAAACGCTTTACTGGGAATACATCTAACTCCGCGAAAATAGTGACCTCGGCATGGATAGGTTTTGCAGAGTTTGAACGGCCGGGTGCGTCGCAGCGTTGGAGGTTTTCCCTTTTGATGTGGGAGGGGTAGCTGCCGTCATCTATCGTCATGGGCACCTCGAGTGCCAGTCGAAACGGCCGTTTCTGCTGTTCCGGTGAACCCGCAATCTCGTTTCACAGGCACCGCTCGACTGCGCAACAGCGTACAGCGCTATGCGCATGCGTTTTTGTGGAACACGAGATCTCGACACCGCTAGGGGAAACTTTAGCGTTGTAAGCCCACTAAATGTATTTTCCCCTGTGAGGCATTTGGGGCTCCTGACATGAGTATGACACTCCTCTTCTATGATCGCGGAAGGAACCTCTACCGCGGCCAGTTTCTGAACCAGGCGACAGAAAATGCGAATGCTGACCCGTGAATATCTCAGACCAATTGTCTTCAGTGTCTGCTACAGGGTCTTAGAGCATTTACTGTGTTACTTTTTGGCGCAAAAATAAACTACGCATTGCTGAACGATTTTTTTCCACCTAATTGCACCGCTGGCGGTCCGAACAAGATGCGAAAATTTTAAAAGTAACCGTTATCAAAAAGTTATGTAATTTTTTGAAAATTTTTAATGAAAAAATGGGGCCTGTCTTTGCCGTTTTCATAACCGCTCATTTCAGCTCTATGCATTTGAAAGCTCCGCCGGCCGCCATTTTCCCATTGAAAATTTCAGAAAATAACTTGTAATTTTTTTTATAGATATAAGTTATTCCTGAAACTTTGGGATATGGTTCGAATCACTAGCGCTATATTTGAGCGGACAATGAGCGTTTGGCGATAGGCAGTTTAACTTAACGGTAAATAATGCCATGCACTTTTTGGAGTTTTGCTGGCCGACGCATTCTGGTTTTGTTGACCGACGCAAACAATGAATTGTAGGAATAACGCTTTTTTTAAAAATTTTACATCAAGAAATTAAAAGGAATTCGAGAGTGCTGGCAAAATGAATCCTTTTCGCAGCACTGCGCTCGCTAGGAGCAGTAAAGACACAACACAACCAGAAAATATCGCTTCCCCTAGAACACGTCACTGTGCATGTGGTTCAGAAGACGGTGTAAATGGAGAAGCTCCGGAAACTCCAATATGTTTCATTTCAAAAATATTTACTCTCGAAAGCCAAAAACAATTGTTTTCTCTTATTCTATAAACAACAGCTCCCAGAGGTATTTGACCAAATCCGAGAATAGTTTTACTGCCCCTTTAATCCTTTTAATCATAGACATATTAGAATGGCTGTCTGCTTGCAAACAATTTCAGCTGTATTCACCACACGTGACTAGCGCTTGCTTAACCGCAGGCTAACTCTATGTAATCGATTAGAGTGACCATGTGGCAGGTGGTAATCACAGCTAAGTAAGCAGTGGATTTTCACCGACCATGTTTGGGGCTTAGTCACCCCGAGCGACTTAAAAGGCGACTAAAATCTCATAATCGGGAGATGAATATGGTTAGTTTAGCCGTTGTTTAGCGGGTGACTAGCCGCCCAATGCCATGACCGACTCCTATCACCGCTGACCGCCAGCGCTAATGGACCAGTTACTGTCTTGGAACGTTGGGGGACAAATCCAGAAAGAATCGGAGCAGCATATATTGTGAAAATAGACATGTTTAGTGGTCACTTCGGCGAGTCAAGGAAGCTCACGCCGCAATACCGTCGAAACTTGCTTTCGACGAGTTCTGCATTTTTCCTGTGGCACTGCGCTTTCGTAAAATTTTCCACCTGTTCTCAACAGCAAGTCTCAACGCTTACGCAGGGTTTTAAAATACTTCGGCGAATGACGACGAACGAGTAGGAAACGTGTCTTCAGCATACTGCCGCCAGCCACTGCAACGCTAGCAAAACTGCAATTCGTCTCGGCCGTCTGGTGGCTTCATTCGCGCTGCAGCGACCAACGTTATTAGATTAGCTCAGTTACGAAACTGCTCATAGACGCTGCGCGCACGAGCAGTACCCCCCCCCCCCCCCCCCCCCTCACTCACTACGACTCACCTCCCGTCGTTCGACGCGCCGGACGGCTGTTTTGGTAACTGCAGTGTATTCTATGGAATACGTACATTTTGAAGCGGAGCCGTCTAGATGGCGTTCCATTGTACTCTGTGGAACACACAACTTCTTGAATCTAAATCTAAATGGCGCTTCGAACGACGGGAGGCGGACTGAAGTAAGTGAGAAAAGTGACCCCTTCCGCGGGAGTTCCACAACTGAGGTAATCTAGTAACGTTGGCAGCGACCAAGCGTGCAAGCGCTATCCAGCAATTCTCCTAGAGATCAGTGCCTCTAAAGCAATCTCAGCAAGGAGCTGGACGACGAGAGAGCCCGAATTTACAGGTGCTTCCACTTTGCCTGTGTCGCTTTGAAAGACTGTCTCGGCTCTCATTATAACATTCCATTTTTTTTTGCTGATAAACATTTCAATATTGGTTTTTATACAATGAGAAAAAAAAAACATAGTGGCGTTTAAATGCGGGAATTCGTGACCTATTTTTTTGTTATGTCACTTCCGCTTGTTACTCCTGACTCGAGAAGGGGTTACTATCGAGTCACCCACTCGCTTCGGACTAGTCGCCCTTTAGTCGCTGATTTTCCTTTAGGTCGTGACTACTTAGACGCGCTACTAGCTTTAAAACAGCGCTAGTTAGTCACGACCGGTGGATACGGCTGTTTATGTTCTTGTTACAACCACGAAATAATACGTTTATACGAAATTCTGGAAAATGAGGAGTAGTATAATTTTTCTTTTCTCACACAGGTTTTTCTTTATTATACGTACTTTGAATGTATCTAGAATCCAGAAAATAGCAAAACTTGGAGTATACACTGTTTTTTTATTTTGTGTGTGGTCAGTACCACTTAAAACAGAATGTAATATAGGGTTGCGTAATGTGAATGCAAAAAGTTTTAACGTAACATGAAAATTTTTATTATAAATATACGAGGGGTGATCAGAAAGCTTTGCAACTCGGGTATAACAAAAAGTCTGACAGTGATGTCTTTATAACCGTTGGTTAGGTCATCTGTCTAGCCAAAATGTTTGTAATATCATGACTTTCGGTCAAGCTTTTGGTCTGCACCAGTCAGTGATTAAGGTTTTTGTGCAAAAAAGAGAGTTCCGCCAAGGAATTTCACAGTAGAATGGTGAATGTGTATGGCGATGAATGCCCTTGATATTCTACAGTAACTCGTTGGCTCAACGATTTTAAGCACAGCCGTGTGGACGTGCAAGACAACCCATGGTCAGGGCGGCCCAGCACTTCAACCGATTCAGCCCAAGCTGAGAGCTTCATCATGAAGAATCACCAAATTAAGGTGTCCGAAGTTGCTACAGAATCAAACATTTTACATGGCAGTGATTTCACAATCATCCATGACGTTTTGAGTATGTCGAATGTCTCGGGACAATGGGTGCTATGGAACCTCTCTACGCAGGATCGACAACACCGCTTGCATTCGTGAAGGGAGCCTTTGAGCATCTATGAAAGCGACCCAGAAGATTTTCTTGCCCGCCTTGTGGCTGGGGGTGAGACATAGCTTTACTAGTGAAACCCCGACACAAAACTACAGTCTATGCAGTGGAGGCCCCCCTTTCGGGGTCCCCCCATCTGAAGAAACTCAAGACGCAATGCTCGGGGAAGAAAGTGAGGGCGAAAGTTTTTTGGGACGCAAAAGGGATTTTACAGTTTGATTATCTGGAAAACAGTTGGACAATAACCTGCGAATACTGTGCCAACGTTCTGAGCAAACTACGCGAGGCCATCGTGGAAAAACGACGAGGAATGGTTTCAAGAGGCGTCCTCCTCCTGCATGATAACGAACCCGCTCAGTCTCGCGTTGCCCAGGCTCTCATTCAAGAGTGTGCTTTCGAACAGCTTAACCACCCACCCTACAGTCTTGATCTGGCCCCTAGTGACCTTTTTGTTACTCCCGAATCTAAAAAAAAAAGAACACCTAAAAGGAACAAGGTTCGATGACTGTAGCACTGCAAACTGCTACAAAGCAGTGGCTTGACAAGCAGGAAGAAATTTGTTTCCAAGGTATCAAAAGCCTTCAAGATAAATAGGAGAAGTGCATTAGTGTGAGGGGGGACTATGTTAAAAACATTTTTTAAAGCCCTGGTAGTTCTCATTATATGCGAGTTGCCAAACTTTCTGAAGACCCCTTGTATAACGTTTCACGCAAATATTTTGGCGGTAAAAATGCATCTAATTTTGTAAGGACGCAACCTACGAAATGACACTAGTGGAGGGCGGACAATGTGCTTGGATGAAAGTTAAAATTATGCCCCTGTTGGCCACTCGTATATTAGTACGGACGGAATTGCCTCCTCTATTTGTGGTATCTAGAAAACAAGAGGGCAAAGTCGGAACTTGTGGTGTAGATAACTAAATTACCTAAAATGTGCGACAAGGGTTACAAGGGTTACAATGGCCGTCAGTTTTCCGCAAAACCACCACAAACATTGAATTCTAAGGAATTGCATAAACAAATTTATTGTTTATCAACAATAATAATTACAAAAAACGCTTTCAAAGACAATTAATAAAAATTTACCGTATGCAAGCTTTGTTACTTTGGAAAGAAATGACAATAAGTTTTATTGACACTTCTTTTAGGAACATTATTATAGGCTTTTTTTACATGAGACATGGGTCGCTTTGGGTTTTATTAGTAATATCTTCACAATTCCCAAACCAGCACCTCTGAAAAAAAAAAAGGTTTACAATAGGTTGACTACTGCGGCCTTCTTAAATATTGACATTATAATAAAAACAACAACTTGGCATCAGCTTGCTTATTTTCCACAAATTGCGATAGTCTTATAAGAAGCATATAATTCCTTCTGGGGTAAATCTTACGCCACACAATATTCAGTAGTTTGAGAGACACTACCATTATTTTGTAATACATGTAACTAACCACTTTTTAAATTGTGTATAAACAATTGAATTTTTTTATTTATGGCCTAAATATTAGTGAACAAAAACGGGATTGTGGCGCCTACCAAACCCATAGATGCGAGCCTCTTACGCGGTTATAGCAAATTGGCGTGATTCCACAATGCGAGTGAAACGCATAGAAGACATTCAGCTCTATATGTAAATATTTATTGATATATCTCACTTTACGTCCGATTACAGCGAAGGATGCTGCAACAATATCCAAGCTTAAGAGGGCAAGTAAACATATCATTAAAAACAGCTAGCGCAAACGAACACAAGGATAAGTAGAAGAAGGGTCACAGACACAGCGACGACTCACAGCTTACTCTCTTTTTCATCTTCTGAAAAAACATCATCATAAGAAGACAAAGAAAGAAGAAAAAAAGAATTCACTGTCACGTAACATCCAAAAAATTTCTCATAGAAAGTACCATTACAAAAAACAAATGTTGATGTATCTTAAAAAGGCGAAAAAGAGAGCAAGTCGTGAGTCAGCGCTAAGTCTGTGCCGCTTCTTCTACTTGTGCTTGTGTTCGTTTGCGCTGTTTTTAATTATATTTTTACTATGCACCACCAACTTGCCCACCTCCAAACATTGCTTAAGAGAGCCACTCGGCAAAGTGAATGCTCGTTTTACTAAAGTTGCTGGAAAAACTTTAACTTCGCAACCGCAGATTCTGCGGCACTCTAGCTTAAAGTGACGCGACGTAAAATTACAAGTTAGATTTAAGGAACACAATTAAAAAAGGCAATTACTGAATATTTCAGCCCAGAAATATTTGGACCTTGACGCAAGCATTTCGGAAATCACACTTAAATCGGTGCACTTTCTGTTAAAATATGGTATCGCGCTTTTATGCAGCAACATCTCCACGGGACTCACCAAGCCCTGTTGATGTGTCTTAATTTTTATTAAATTATATATATATTTTTTAAATGTGATATAACCTTGATTGTATTCACCACCTATTTTCTGCATAGATAATATACTTAATCTCTGGAGAGCTTTGAGGCATGCAAAAATATTTTTTCTCCCATACCTTTTTATCTCCGCAAGGGTAGCCAAATGGGGCCGGGTAGGTTTTGACGCCATTTTTATTCGTGCATTTTATTAAGCAGACTTCTTTGTGCTAAAAAAATGTAGCAAGAAAATATTTAGGTTTCGTGATTAACTATAGGGTATCCCAAGTCACCAGGCTCGATCTAAAATGGACCGTAAAAATCGACGCCCGCACGTAGCAATCTAAGCTTTTCGTCGAAGATGTATTCCACAGGTTGTTTTTTTCTTGTAAAATTAGAAAGCGTAGCTCCCTTTCTGTAAAAAAATAGGGCCAATAAACTTGCCAGTGTCAACGGCCGGCGGCAACGCAGACGACGAAGTCGAGTTGCGGGGCGCGTTTGGCGCGCGCATTGATAGATGGCGTCGGGAGCAGAGTCGGAAGGTACAGCCAACCAGCGAAAGAAAGCAGAAAACACGCAGACGAAATCGTTGGCAGCAAAAGCGCCGCCGTTATGCAGACACGTTTTTTTTTTACTTTAAGCTTTGCTTTTATTGTTTGCATTTGTTTTTTAACCAAAGGTATATTACAAAAAGATTATGATCATTTTAATAAACCGCAGTGGTCGCGAGCCGTCTCGATAAGGAGGTAGCGCAATCTATCAATACGAACGCCAAGCGCGCCCCGCTACTGGACTCGGTCGTCTGCGTCGCCGCCCGCCGTCGACATTGGAAAGTTTCTCAGCCCTATGTTTTTACAGAAAGGGAGCTATGCGTTTTAATTTTACAAGAAAAAATTCACCTGTGAAATACACCTTTCACGAGAAGTTTAGATTTCTACGTGCAAGCGTCGATTTTTTCGGTCCATTTTAGATCGAGCGCGGTGTCTTGGGTCATGCTATATATGGGCACAGATACGCGTCCCCATTTTTAACATTGGTTTTAATCTCTAATCATTCGAAAAATATGGGCAAACAGCTATCAATGGAGCGAGTGGTTCAATAATTATGTCCGGATCAATGAATGATGAGGTACGCAAAAAGGTAATTTCAAATTGTTTGTTTTTATAAATTTAGGATATGAACACTTAGGGGACGCTTAACATTTGCCTTTGAGAGTTGAAGGGTTCGGTGGCACTGCTCACCCGCAAGAAGGACCAACGGAGCAGATATCGGAAGGAAGCACACCTTTAAGGCCGGTTCTCACATACAGCGAAGCGCTGATGTAGCGCTGCTCACGTGTCGTCAGCTACTTATCGTCTGTCATGAGCAACGGTTTTGACGGTGTGATACAAAGATGATGAACGCTCCCGTCAGCACGCGCTTAACGCGAGGTCAGAGCTATGCTTGTAGCGCTCCGCTGAATGTGTGAACAGGACTTTACTGTCCCCGGCTATTCCGCTGACCAACTGGTCAGGTGCCGAGCTCCGCCTGGCTCACGCCTGTCACCCTATGCGCTCCGTGCTCATGAGTCAAGACTCGCGCTTTTCTTGAGTGCGACACAACGCCGCTACAGACGCACAAAAACTCGCGACACCGTTATGAAGTGGAACGCTATATCGTTGTCGGACCCCGTTTGCAAAGCCTTCTCATACAAACCCGCGTTCGTTCCCAAGCCGTGCAAGCGTGTGTGCGTGGTCTAGTCGGTAGCGTCACGTGTCACGTGACGTCACACGACGTCTCATGTTATCAGTAAAATGTTTTTCCGATACATTTTGCGAAAACATTTTCCGACAAATTTGTCAAGAAGCTTTTCCGCTAAATCTAGAGGAAAAATTTCCCGTCAAATTAGAGGGTGAATAGGGTCGTGACGTCACAACCACGTGTGACGTCACATGTGGATGGGCTCGTTGCATTCGGGATTTTTTGGTCCCACCGGCGCCGACGCCGACGTCAGATGTTTTGCAACACAAGCTCCTGAAGGGTATCGCGTTAATGTAATGAGATACTGCCTTTCTTGCATAGCAGGGACGCCTTCAACTTTGCAAATGTCGAAAATACTAATTTTGATGTTATCGTAGTGCAGAACGGCCAAGATATTCATTGTACTTTTGTTGCTAGCATTGTTAGACACTTTATAAGTTAACAGGTGGCCACCATACTCACACACGTTTAAGTTATTGTATTGGATAAACTATAACAATTATTGCAAAGCCGAGTGCATTACTATATTCGCACAGATCCCCGTCAAATAAATGACAGTGAATAATCTCTTTTTTCACGATGCTGTTACAAATGCTGGCATTTAGCCACTCCCGTCGGAGATAACGCACCGACACATACAGCGATAACGGCAAATACCCTTCGGATTAACATAGGCACTGTTTCATGGCAGGTAAACTGAGATATTTGATGTTGACAGAAGAAAGTTTGAAAGAAATAGGAATGGATCGCTCAAGCTTGCACATGAAACGGTGTGTAATGTTTATAGTACAATGACAATGATTGTTTTCATGACAGGCACGCAATAAAATTCGCCCCTCAACGTTTTAAGTACATATCTTTTAGAAGTTTCCTTCTGTCATTTATCAGAACTCTGTATTAGGTTAGTGTTTCTACATTGTCATATGTTCACGACAATGATAACGCTAGTAAGAAAAGAAAAGAGAAAGATGCGCGAAGAACGAGTGCAAGGGGAGAACGAGAAAAAATTCGAAGCTGACCAGCAAGCGTCGACGGACGGCTACGGTGGCTACTTGAATCCTGGCACGTCCATGTCAGGTCGCCAAGGTACTGGCTCCTGACAAACCCGGTCGCCACGTACGATACAGCCGGCATCGCTTTGAGGCCCCAAGGCGCTAACCCTATGACGTACCTTCTACTACATTGGAGGAATCACCAGTGACTCTCAGATCAGAAGACGATTTTGACTACGTTTTTTGTGTGTGGCGATAACTCTAAATCTACCATTTTTGTGTTGCTAATTTATATTCGAATTTATTTTCTCGCTGAAAATATAGTTCCAATTTTGATTTCCCAGACTGGTTGGCTGGCCTGTTCTCTTTTTGTTCCCGTCAGCCGTGACATACATTGCTGTATTTCGAAAGCTTTTTGGAATACATACATAAGAAAGCCAAACGTTTCTTACAGCTGACAGATAGAGCTCTGGATTAATGCGTTGGCAGTACTTCTGGGGTGTGATTTTTGAGCCCGCAACATCTTTAGTGACATTGAAGAAGTTGTAGTCGGATTGCGTATCCCAACAATTCTTTCCACGTTTCCTGCAATAAAGTTCGCTCATTAGTACAGAGTTAAATATGTTTTGATATAACATCGATGCCTCACACTGTAACTGCGATTTGAAGCTTTTATAGGAATACAAAAAAGTGCACGTTATACGTATAATACTTGTAATATATATATAAAAAATATTACAACTAAAATTAGCAAATAATTCGACAGACACCATACATTAACCAAACTCTGCTCAGTTTTTTTCGTTTTTACGTGTAATATTAGTTACAAAATGTCTCCGAGTAAACGCACGACGGTCTAAGATGTAGGAACATTTTGTTTTTGTTTTGCCGGCTGATACGCAAAGATACACAAGCACGCTAAGTGCACAAGGCCGCTCATTTATGATGCTTATGGTCTTATCAGCTACCGATTTACCGTCATTTTGTTGGCACTTCCGCGTTTCTATAGAAAACATCACTCAACTGGCAGCTATACTTAATGTTCTGAGTGAAATGGGCGATCTCTACTCGCAGGTAATTTTTTAGTTTTTTATCTTATGAATGATGGGGACGGAGGTATGCTTTTTAGTATACACTCTATGGCTTATGTCACCAACGTATAACGGTTAATCAGAACACATATAACTAAATTTTATGCAATATATCAAAGTAAAACTTAAGAACTTTTGTGTTTATAATCCTATGCCTACCTTTTGAACAAGGACGAAACGCATCGCGAAGTATTGAACTTGCACCCTTCCTCCTCATTGTTATCAATACATTACCTCATTTATTCGTTTGATAAAAATGCCCTTAATTTTCCTACCCCCCTGGTTTAGTCCTCAGACTCCCCCTGATAAATTTAACAACCAACATTCATGTCAGCAGCTTCAGAAAAAAGAACATTACGACCCGAGCTTGTCGAGGTTCTTTCACACATACGCTATACGTCTTTAAGGAAAAGCTCCCGTGAGCTACCATTTTGTGCTATGCTGGCGCCACCTAACATTTAAGCCAAGTTGGTGCATGCTAAGGGTTCGTCATTGTGGTGTGCGATTGTGGACCAACCAGGAAAGGCAGCAGCCACGACGATTTATGTGATATGTGCGGCATGGAAAGAGAAAGACGTCGGCTCGGGCCAGGATGCACCATGGGAGAGCGCGAGGGCTGAACCCAATGCTCGACTGCTGGACCTGCTCGGATTTTTTTTTTCATCCTGTCTTTTGCTTCTAGTGGGTAAGCAGTATTCACCGATATCCAGAGACGTCAGCGAGACGTGCACTATGCTGATTGGCGACTTGCTCATTGCGAGCGAATACTGGTTGGTTTAAGTGAGGGTGTGGAATGAGCTCCATGGCGCACTCCTAGATGCGCTTTAAAAATATTTCATGTTTGTTACGGGTGTTGTTATTTTTTTTATTGTTTTATCCGACTTTGCAGTCAGAGGCAGCAACTGTATGTTATATACATAATTTTTCACAGTCTCTCAACGAACAGTGGCGTCTGTTTTGGCAAGGGGTAGTTGGGAACATGGTACGACGAGAAGACAACGTCCTCGGGCTCTAATCTGTGCACTTCACGAAAATGTCGGCGAGAAATCTAGGGACCATAATTGGATGGTGCAAAGGTCAAGTGCGTCGTAGGCCAATCACGGACGTCGGATTTCTTGCCGACTTTTCCACCAAAGTGCCTATATTGGGGCCCCTGGTTGTATTGGATGTGTGTCCCAGCTCGACGTGCGGTCCGTGTCTAAGCCAGGAAGCCACTGCCAACGTGTATAGGAGTTTCTAACGAAAGAGGCTATATCTGACTTTGCTTAGATAAAATCATGCACCCGTGTGCTGACGTATTTTTTTTTTTCGTGAATATTTTGTATGTTACTCCTCAACATGTGTAGGAAGCGTAATAAAGATGTATTTTTTTTTTCAAAAAGAAAACATGTAAAGAGAAAAATAGTTTGAGTGCGTCAGAACAGCGTATTCGATGTGTGAACTTTTCGTTTATGTAATGTTCTGTCATACCTACAACGCAAATTTTAAATATAAAAATTTCATATATTTTTAATTAAATCAATTATGGAAAATATTGATGTACATATGTATAGCAGCATTGTGGATGGTATATATTTTGCGTCCTAAATGCGTAAACATATTTCCTTTGATGTTTCGTCACTACATTTCTGCCCGTTATCCAAAGAAAAAAATATGTTCCTTACTCTTCTTAAGATGAACTTTCGAATAATATATAAATCATTTCATTATCCTAAAAATGCGAATTTTTATGTCACTCCAAGCTTGTTGTAGAGAACACGAGGGAGTTGTAGAGTACACAAGAGACTTGTAGAGTACGCTTCAAGGGGCAACTAAAAAAAAAAGAAGACATCTCCGATTTTTTAAAAATTTATAGTGATAGTTCTCCACCATACAATTGGTTGTGTCCATTAAAAAAAAAAAGAAAAAAAATGTTGCATATTGTTGTATTCTTCAAAGTTACAGCGCTGCAAAGTGCACCTTCCACGCCGGCACTTTTGCCCACTACCAAAAACTGAATTATCTTTTCATTTTCTGTATTTTAGGACTATATATAATTTTGTGCTGTATTCGGGTATTGGGCTCAAGTTTAAGTATTCGACTCGTTAAAACAATGCCCGCGTTGCTCTTCCTTTGCATTTTTTCTAACGAATAGGTCTGTATTGCCCTTTAAAATTACAAGTTCAAGGAGCTTTAATCAAATTTTTTCCAATTGTAATCGCTACTACTACTTTTTTATTTTGCAGAACACAATAGGAAAGTAAGAACAGTGTTGCAAATTATTTGCAAATATTTGTATTTATATTATTATTATTATTATTAGTGCACATGCCCTCAAGCGGCGAAGCATTGTAGAGGGGAGGGGCAAAGCAAACAAAAATAAAACAAACTGACAAAAAAAAAACAAAAAAAAAACAATCGGCAAGAAATTCAAATATCACAAATACACTGCGATTGGTAAAAGCAGTAAGCAATATCTGTTACGAACAAAATAGACAAAATAAAATGACTCATGTTGGCTCATCAAACAGAAATGTAAACAAAGATTGTCGAAAAAGAGAATAATCGGGTATAGTTGCGATATCTGCTGGAAGGTGGTTCCAGTCGTTTGATGTTTACGGGATAAATGAATAAAAAAAAGTGTTTGTTTGGCAACGTGTTCATCCAACTTTATTCAGATGGTCCAGACGGGAAGAGTAGTAGTTAGGCAATGTAAAGAAATGGTCTCGCAGCGACTGATGATGATACACTTTATGATACAGGCAAAGTCGAAAAAACTTTCTGCGCAATGACAAACAGGGTAACAACAAACTGGACTTCATTGATGATATGCTGGCTGTTCGTTTATAATTAAACAGAATGAAACGAACGGCGTTATTTGAACTAATTCGAGTGCTTTATATAGAAAGGCGTGGTTAGGATCCCAAATAGAGGCTTCGTATTCCAATTTTGACCGTACAAGAGTGTTATAAAGAAGTTTTAAGTTAACTGGAGCCGTTCTGAAGTTTCGTCGTAGGTATCCTAACATGCGGTTAGCGTTGGCGATTATTATATTGTCACGAATGAAGGTGACGAGAAGCTGAACATTGAACTGAGAATAAATGTTTAATGGGCGAACTTGTGCCAACCAAAAATAAGTAACGAAAGAGCGTCGAGGCAGCAGAAAAGCAGGCGGCGATACGGCGGCGAAAGAGAGAGCGCGAGCGAGACTGACTCGACAAGGTCGCGAGTAGCTGCTTATCTACCGTGCGTCACTATCTTGAAAGTTCGGCAAAGAAAGTTCGAGCGTCGCGCGCTCGGGGCGATGATGAACTGGCACTTTCGAGAACACGAAAGCAGGAGGAAAGTTACGTCTGGTGCGAGAATGACCGCGAATCCTCTAGAAGTCCGTGACCGAGCGTTTCTTTATCGACCCTGCGGGCGGCAATATCGATATGAGGCTTCCAGGTTAATGTCGACGATATAGTAACACCCAGAGAACGGTATGAGTTGACAAATTCAAGTTTAATGTCGGTTAGTGTATATGCTGAAGGGCGTGCGCCTTGCCGGGAAACGCGCATTAGTTTGCATTTGTTAGGGTTTAGATTCATACGCCATTTTTTCGCACCAAAGTGTAATATTATTTAAATCAGATTACAAAATGCGTTCATCATCATCATCATAAACTTCCCGATAAATTACACAGTCATCCGCGTATAAATGCATGGAGGAAGAAACACAACTTGGTAAATCACTAATGAATATTAGAAAAAGAAGTCGGCCTAAAATCGAACCTCATGGCACGCCCGATACCACATCAGTCAGGGATGAATTAATGCCATTGAGAGTTACATATTGTGAGCGGTTGGTAAGAAAGCATTCCAGCCAGGTTACTAATTAGGATTTAGGTTGATTGGAGAAAGTTCAAGCATTGGTAACTTATGATTAACCTTGTCGAATGCTTTAGAAAAATCGAGAAAAATACAGTCAGCCTGATGGTTTTTGTCCAGTATAGCATGCAAACAATGGGCGAAATGAAGCAGCTGCGTTTCACAAGCAACTCAGCGACGGAAAGCATGTTGAGTAGGGGCGAAAAAGGAATTTGATTCTAGGTAACTAAAAATATGAGAGTACAGTATTGTGCTCCATTATTTTACAGGAAATACTTGTTAGTGAAATGGGTCTATAATTTAATGGAGAATGCTTGTTACCGAACTTATGCAGTGGAACTACCTTCGTGGTTTTCCATTCTATTGGGAGCGTTCCACATTCAAGAGATTGCTGGAAAAGTTTGGCCAAAAAAAAGGATGAGTACATTTTAGTTTGTCTTAGAAATTTTGAGTTAATATTATCGCTTCTACATGACGATGATACTTTCAAAGAATGAATTAACTTTACATATAATTCCAGTAGGCTCCATGGAAATTGGAAACATAGGGCTAAACTCACAACCGTGGAACGTCATAAAACTACAGAAAAACTATTTGAAAAAACGCGATTAAACACTGATGGATATTCTGCCGGAGGGATTAACGCCCCAGACTCATCGCTAGGAGAAATTAAGCCGTTGTAATTCATATTAACAGTCTTCCAGAACGTCTTGGGGTCATTTAAAAGTAGTCTCGGTAAAGTGTTCTGAAAAAAACATTTCTTTGACGTTAGATAAAGCTTGGGAATATTCGACCTCAGCTAAAAAGTATGCTTCCCACCAATCAATCGTGTTACCTAATTTAGCTAAACGAAAAAGTCGCGGTTTTTTACTGGAAATGCGTTTTAGGTTGTTAGTAGACCAAGGTGCTTTAGCATCAGATTAAATACGCCTGACGGGTACATGCGCATCCATCAGTTCGTTCACTTTTAAACAGAATAATCTCCAATTTTCCTGCACGCTTCGTTGATCAAATTCTGGCAGATATATGTCCAGATAGCTGCACAGTTTTTGGTTAATAAGATAAAAATTGGCTTCATTGTAGTCAGAAATAAGCTTTACTTTTTAATATTGATTGGGGAGCAGCTTTGAGATCAAAATTTAACAACGAGTGATCACGTATGCCTGGAAGATACGTAAGGAAGGATAGAAGGTCAGGGTGTGTCGACAGAATTAAATCAAATGCGTTCGCTGTATCATTGGCATACCTTGTTGGTTTCGTAACCAGCTGTGTCAAATTAAAACACGCACACAGATCCAAAAAACTCTTGACTCTGAGTTGAAACAGGTTGAAAAGAAGCAATGAAGTGGGAATATTTGAGCCACCAAGCTTGTTACACTGTTATTCATGATGGTTGTAGGTCCAGCTGGCCAAGGTAAACTTGTGATTTCACTGGTTGACTCTTTCTATAACGTCCGTTAACATAGAAAAAATAATACTTATAAATGGTTATTAAAAAAAAAAAACTAAAAGTAAAAAAAAAAAAAAAATGTGTTAACACGTCGAGCGCTTTAGCTGCCCGTGTTGGCAGGAGGGCGTCATTAGATGTCCGTTTCTGGCCCCTCTTTAAACCAGACTTACGAATTACTCGAAACACTCATATGTATTGCGATAATTCCAACGAGTGAAAAAGAATTCGTCGATTCCGAATGTGGCAAATAGGGAATGCACGAACTGATTGACGCTGCCTCACGGGCGGAGTGTTCTGGGAGGAGAATTTGAAAGCCTTGTGGAGTAAGTCAAACTCCGGCCTTCTGATTGTCTTAGTTTAGGTACGTTGTAGCGAGCTCTTCTCAAAGCAGCAGACATACCTAGGCCTGAATTTATCCGGGCAAACCTGTCAATAATCACGTTGTCGGTGTTGTCAGTGTAGGTTAGGGATGGCGTTCTACCGATGCGGAAGCTATTTTTCACCTTGGATCGTTCGACGTGACAGATCGGAAAGCAAAGCAAAGCCGCCAAGCCTAAAGACCCACATGACCACCCATGAAACCAATTTTAGAGTAACGAGGTTTTAAGGGCATCGGCTGTAACCCTGTCGCCACGTGCACGCAGTTTGCAGCGGGACGTATTATCGCTTTGACTCGCTGGCGGCACCGATGCTAAGCAACACGTTTGTCCCTATACCATCGTCCCCAGGAGCCAACGTCGGCGTCCAAAGCGAAATGACGCGAGTCATAAAGCGACTAACGGCACCGACCTAATCAGCGCTAAATCAGAAAGGCGGCGGTTCATACAGAAAGCAAACTCCACAAGGCGGTGGTGGCCCCTCGTGAACATAAAAAGCAGCGACCGGCATGGACGACAGATCACACGAAATTATCACCTGCTTTTTCCTGCGTGCCCTTTACTTTTCGGAAGAACTGACCTGCCACATACTTAAACTTACTCTGTACGATGCTTCATAGAAAAGCTAATAACGTGTTATTTTTCCTTCTTTCTCTCTCCAGACATGCTTTCGGGAGGTCGCGGAGTCTTGTGATCGTGAGACAACACGCGCGCTGCGGTCATAAGAAAACGAAGCGGTTGCCAATGCCGTGTAGTTGCATCTTGGCAAAACGTATTCAGCCATTGCAACCACTTACAATGTCTGTAGTTCCTTCGTTCATGACTGTATTAGTAAACGGAAAGGTGGATAGAAAAGCAGAGACGCTTTCGCAGTGTGTGAGATCTGGATGTCAATTCTCCAAAGAGAATCGTGCGAAATCCTCCAGTCTGTGCCTTCCATATCTGTAGTCACATTCGGTGTTCACAGATTTTCTAGCACTTTTTAGAATTATTGCAGCACAAGTGAGCTCTTCGCTGAATTCGTCAGCCTGGTATGAAGAGGGACAAAAGACTGACTTCTCAAGTCGGCCTTCTTCCAACGCGGGCAACTTGTGCGCTCGATATCTTTACTCAATATTTTTTTTAATGTTTTTTTTTTATTTTATTAGGCTCAATAATTATAAATATTTTTAATTTTCACGGACGTCTCACTGAAAGTCTGCCAGTGAAGTCTCAGGGTTACCTTGGTGAGCCGGACGTACAACCGTCATGAAGAGCAGCGTAACAAGCTTAGACTTAAACATTCCCACTTCATCACGAATATAAGTATAAATATTCGAATATAATTTACACCGCTGCACTTAATTTTGTACTACTTTCTGTATAAAAAAGAAAAGGTTGTAGTAGCAATTACAATTGTGTTTGTCCCCCCTTTGTGGATATTGTTGAGCTAAAGCTCCTAGAACTAATTAATTTTAAATGGCAAAACATGATTATTCGTTAAATTAATGAAAATGAGAAAGCAACGCAGGCATCGTTTTAATTAGCAGAATACTTTAAATCGAGCCCGTTACCCGAATACAGCACAAAAACTATATATAATAAAATAATAGACGTAATACTAAGAGAATCGTGTCTGTTGCATTGGGCGAAAATGCCGGCGTGGAAGGTAAACTTTGCGGCGCTGTAACATTGAAGGTAACAAAATGATGCCGCATGTTCTGTTATGAATAAACACAAACTTATGATGGTAAACTATCACAATAAACTTCTAAAAAATAGATAATTTTTCTTTTAAATTGCTTCTTGAAGTGTCTGAAGTTTGTTCTTTAGGACAAATTTAGAGCGACATGAAAGTTTAAATGTTTGAGATAAAGCAATGGTTAGAAAGACCGTTTTATTAAGAAAATTATGACATAATTTTAAATATTATAGCTATTTACCGTTCTTAGATAACGCTATGTATTGAAAAAAACTTCAAACGAGATATATTTGCGCACTTTGGACGCAAACTGTATAGTCTTTACAAGGATGTACATATTAAAATAAATAGTCCCCATTTTTTATTATAAGCGTAAATATTTAAAATATTTGTCATTTGTATTTGTGTAGAGATGCCACCAAACATGCCATAAACGAAAACTTCAAAAATTGAATATGACGTCCTGGCGAACATTTTTTTCTCTAGAAATGATGTTTTTTTCGCAAACTTTCCTTGGTAACGTTTCCTACACCATGTCGAAGAATAATATATAAAAAAAGATAGCAAAAAAAAAAAAGAAACACACAAAAAAAACGTCCGAACTTGCGTTTGTGATCTTATCTGAACAGAGCAGTCTATATATGACAGCGCCTGTGAGAATACGAAGAAATACTAGCCTTAAAATAAATTCCATTTCTTTTTCACTGCAATTGGAAAACGTAAAGGGCGGTTGATGCTTAAAGCCCATGATATGTCCTGGTGTGTTCTTGCAGGCTTCAGCACCTGGATGACCGTTGAAGAGCGGAGGATTGCCATCATGCGTGTTCCCAAGCCTGCATAAACAATTACACTTAACACAAAACCATAATGTTTTCAACAAAATATGGTAAGTGTGCAGGCGAGCTGGGGAAGGTTTATCATGATGAATTATAGCGGAGAACGGTATAACTGAGATGTTGCCTTGCCCCTTTTCTTTCTGTGCCATCAACTGCTTATTGTTTGTTCCTATCTTTCTACAATCTAAAGTATAATTATTCATGTTTTCAACGATCGAAATCATTTCAAGTGTAGAGAATAAAAAAAAAGTGTGTTGAAAGTATTGCAAAATAATTCGCGCTACGTTAGCATGTTAAAAAAAAGCTTTCGTACAAAATCGAGATACCTATTAGTAAAGCAACGTCACACTTCTAATACAATTTTGACTTTTTTGTCATTTTAAACTTATTGAAAGCAGAAAAAAATATACCAAAGTGGGTATACAATTTTTAAAAGCACTATGAATAACGTTTCGCGTATCACTTTCAAGCGTTTTTGGAATAGGTTTACCTACTTCAAATGAGGTCTGCACTTTGTTTCACCTTATGTCAGAGCGCAGTCGGTTATAAGGGCTGATGAGGCCGATAAAACGGCACATAAAGCGCAAGGTCATGGTTTTCATATTATTTATGGTCTTGCTTTTATCGAATAAGCCAATCAAGCACAGCGATTGTGCCAACGTCTTGCACCTTTAGTATATCTGTCTTTGATTTTAAGGCTTTGACGGCGCTCTTTTGATAAAACGATGTAGTGTGTTCAGTTAGAGTAAATTTTGTTAAATAACAACATACAGAAATAAAAGGACCGAAATGCAGACACCCAGATGATAGTACACTGTAATTAAATATTTCGATTTAAGTAACGTATTTAAATTTTTATGTAAATACTGTCTGCCACTAACGCCGATATATTGCGACGTGCTTGGCCGAGAGGAAACGTTTCTCCATACTTCTAGAAGATTCGCGTTTACGCTTATCCCGAGTGTAGTAAATAAGGAATCCAACATGGCTTTGGTTAGTCAACCTAGCCCTTGTACGACGGTTGAACATTCTAGAACCAACTGTTGGAGATGTCGAGTGAGACACAATCGCACTCTCGCGCTAGCCAGTTGTTACGCCGACACCTCGTCAATCGCTGTTACCGCCGTCGACGTTCGCTGCAGCTTCATCCAAGCTCGTTCTTTCTGCTGTTTCTTGCACAAGTGCGCCAATTGAACATCTATTATCAGTTTAAGAAATAAACGTTTAATCGGCGAACTTGTGCCAGAAACAAAACAAATAAAGGAGCGTGGAGAAAGCGGCATCGAGCGTTGACGGCGGCTGCAGCGAGCGAAGAGGTGTCGGCGTGACAGCTGCTTATCGCGATAGTGCGAGAGTCTTTCATTGGGTAAGGTGAAGCTGGGCTCCATATCTACTACTTTGGTATGTCAAACATTCGGTAATAGAATGTTCAAGCGTCGCACATAGGCGAAACTGACCCGGCAAGGTCGCGTTGGCCTCATTATCACTCGAGTGCAAATCTTCTAAAAGTATGGAGAAGTGTTTCTTCTCACCATGCACGCAGCAATAACATCTACATGTAGCTCCCAGTGCTTGGTTTTATTACTTATTAAAAGTATGTATTTGTTTCTTTTGGCCGAATAGGCTCCTCAAGGAAAATGATTTTGCGGCCGGTATTATATATTTATATCAACTGCAAGGACGCCTGGAAATCGTCTCTTTATAAACGTATGCTCCTTGCTCGTATTGAGTTAACAGACTGAACTAGATGGTTGCGCTCCTCTCGATGTTAACGTAATTCTGAAAGTTAGCGGTGGATGGAAATGTAATTATTTAGAATAATTGATAATCCAACATAGAATTAAAAAAAAATGCAATTCCAGATTTACTGAAACTCAGATAATTGCAGATTTGTAATAATAACTAAAAGAAGCTATTAACATTCAATTGAAAGCCAATATGAAAGAAGTAAAAATAAAATAAAAATTGGGAATTGAATTCAGGACTTCCAAATACATGAGCACTAGAAGAGGATAGTGATATACAATGGGCTAAATATATTTGTTCGTATATGCACAAACCTCATATTTTCAGAATAACATTCAGACTTTGTGACATGGATTTTTATTGCTAACGCGAAAAGGGCTGCTTAAAATAAAGAAAACAAGCTAAACTTTTTTTAAGGATAACGTGTTTTAGAAGCCCGTTTCATTTTCGAATTGCTTCAGCAAAACTTAAGTGTTTAAAACTTCTATCCTAGCGTTATATGGCTGAAATCGCTGTTTTTGATCTGATATAGTGTATACATGATAGTGTATGAGAATATTTAGGTATATATAAAAGAATTTGTATGTTATTAGTTAAGCGAGAAACACAGCGTAAACCAAAAAATTCGCCGTACACTTTTTTCATTGTCTGAAAGTCAGAAAAGAAGTAAGCAGGGAACACAAGCAATATGAATAACTAAATCATTATATAGATACTTCGTACCAAGAGTAACACGTGAAGACGCGCTGATTAAATGGTTTATAAAGAAAGCGATGTGATACTTACAAATGTCCGATCTCGTGAGCTATTGTTGCGAAGGTAGCGTAAAGTAAAGGTACTTCCACAGCAATACCAACATTTTTGCCACTCACACAAACCCCCGTAGAAAATGCGGAACCTGAAAATACATTTTCCTTTTACAATATACCTACTAAAAGCTATTTCATGTTTCAAAAAAAAAAAAAAAAAAAAAAAGCTCTCAAGTGAGGAACGTTAAGTGTTCCAAGTTGAACAAATTACGCAACGCATAGTTTCGATGAACCATCGGGTTCAGTATGAGCCTGAGTAGCCCGTCCTAAAGTTTAACGTGCATGTCAAACCAATGTTAATAGATCAGTGAATTGGCAAACGTCTTAGAGCACCTGGCGTCATTTCGTGGCGCGCCCGCTCGGTACCTCTCACAACGTTATCAGCCCGCCTCATTGGCAAAAGTAACAGAATTGGTAAAGCGTTGGGCGCTCATTGCCTGGGCTCACGTCTCGGCTCACGTCATATTTCATTTGCACTGGAAGATAATCGCACATACACTGTACCAAAAACAATGGTCGCATGAATAGCAACGCACGACCCCCCCCCCCCCCTAATGACTAAAGCCGTTGGCTGCCCCAGAGGTGTATATATATACAGTGCGAATTCAGGGAACCAATATGCACAATGACTACTCATGAATGAATAATATTACAAATAGATTACTGTTTTCGGACGAAAGTCCGTTGATAAGAATGTTTTAAAGCGGTCAAAGGCATGCACCTCCAAGCAGAATTGTAAGTTGTAACATGGTAATCTTATGTGAAAGTCGATCAAACAAACCCCCCTCCGGCAACTACAAAAAAAAAAAAAAAGAATACAAAAAAAAGTGTTAATGGGTGAGCGCTGATGGGTCCGTTTTCTGGCCTCCTAGACGTGAGCCCAGAAAGTTCAGAATACACGAGCCCGGCTTGTTTTCTGCTGAAAGTCGAGAAAAAAACAAGAACTCTTGTCCTCGTTGCTGTTAGCGATGGGTGGCTTTCTTTATCCGGGATTACTCTGTGTACAAATTTAGAGAAATGAAGTGCGAGCGCGTGGATAGCTTTGATCGGTACTCATTGTGCGTGAGAGCTTGAGTTCCTGTACCTATGAAAAGTCGTGGGGCGTTACGATGGCGACGATGAGCGCTGCAATACTTTCGCGTGAAGCTCATCTGTTCCTGCAGGACTAGGCAAAATCAGCATCGCAGGTTCTCACGTTGTAATTTTCTTCGTGGTTCTTTCTGGAGGAAGATCAAGGTAAGAATGCTAGAGGCAGAGGTAACTTGAAGTGGGCCAGTAGGTTTTCTTCATTGCTTCTAGGAGCTAGAGAATTCAAAAACAAGGTAGCGTACCCCGAACTCAAATCCGCTGGACTGCGCGACAGACTGGCGTCCTCCAACTAAAGTGCTCTTGCACTAAATTTATAATTGCCGGGTATATATTCATATACCAATTTACGGACGGGGGATCAGGCTATCTTGACCTTCCCTTTTAAACTCTGCTTGTGCAACCTTTAAAAAGGCACTAAGCCTGGTCACAATGCCCGAAGGAACATCCAGGATGTAATCATGCAGTGCGGCCGTTAGGTGTCTAGGTTTTGTAGTGTTTAACAGGCAGGGCGCTTAGTGTTTACACTCAGTACACAACTGGGTACTTCCCTAAACGTCTTATGCTACGTATATTTTAAGTTATCGCTTTCTCTCAATCACGTCGATCCTCTGTCGAACATTTGAACGTTTTCTTATCCGCGCTGTTTTAACCTTTCTGAAAGAGAATGACATACTCTCGCCGTCCCAGCATGGTTTCCAGCCAAATCGCAGCTGCGAAACTGCCACTGCCACGATTACGCATTCCATCAGTGACAGCATCGGCGGCCGCGTCCCTGCTGATTTGATTCAACTAGACCGCAATGATCGGTTTGAAACGCTTGATCACACCATCCTGATCTGAAAAGCCGCTCAGGTTAGTGTCCGAGGCTTGTTACTACTTTGGTTGACCCGATTTATAGTGTGTCGTACCCAACGCCTTCTTTACCCCAAGCAGCACACATGTTCCTCCTGATATTGTCACGAATGACAATTGATGAGGCAATGATAACTGAAGAAACTAAAGGTTTATCGGGGCTAACTTGTGCCCAAAACAAAAAGGGAAAAGAAGAAAACAGCAGAGCGCCGCGGGCGTCGATGTCGGCGAAACCGCAGGATCGAGCAGGGGCGAGACTGACTGCGGCTAGCCACGCGGAGCCCCTTTTGTACACGCGTGGGCTAATCGAACAATCGGCGTAAAAGGTTCGAGCATAGAACATTCTAACCTCGAACGTGCAGCAGAGTTCTCGAATTTACCGGAACAGTAAATCGGAAGAATAAATAAAAGACGCGACGCGCCCAGGAATCGAACCCTGGCTCTTCGCGTGGGAGGCAAGCACGATAACCGTAAGGCCACGGCCGCTTTTTTTTTCTTTATTTCCGGTTTTTGACAAAAACAAAACAGAGCACTGTAAAATGATAGAAACTATGTTGGCCCTACAGCGGCCAACATGGCAAGGTTAAAATGAACTCAAATGCGTCACACTTTCCAGCACAAGTAGCCAGTCAGGTACACAACTTTGAGACTTCCACACCTCTAGAATTTGCAGCATCATTTCGCAAAAGTACTCGTGAACCTGTTTTGCGCCAATTTCTGCATGGCGCACGGCCATGCGTGACTTCCAAATGCTATGAAGCCCCACAAGAAAAACAAGATCGAACGGTACGTTATCGTCGTTTTCAGTGGCTAGGTACCGAATGCCATGTGGGTCCTAAGGTAAATCCTTCTTCAACGTACGTTGGAGAATGTCCCAAAAGAAAACACCGTCCCAGCACTCTAGAAACACGTGCTCTACCGTCTCCGGTTTCCTGCACAAAAGACAATTTACCCCCCATGCAACAAACAAACCCTTCTCCTCCAACCATGTCTTAACCGGCAGCACTCCGGTATGCAGTTTAAAGAAAAAAGATTTCACACACGGAGGCACTGCCATTCTCTTCACGCGCTGAAGCACGTTTTGACCTGGGCCCGCACTATACAGTGATCGGTATAAGGGAACAGGGAGAGCAACATCAACAAGATCCATCTACAATCTTTTCCGCGGCACTTCACTTAAATACTCCATAGAAAAACGAGTGCTCAAAAACTGTGTTGCTTGAGCAACCTCTCGCCAGTAACCACGGATTCCTCCGGCGGGGGGACACGCAGAAGAAACAACGAAATGTGGCAAAGCTTTGCCTAAGCGCAGCTGACACATAGTACAAAGGAAACCATCCTTCACATCACGAACAAAAATAAATCGGTTTACCACTTGCCTCAGGAATAAGTGCGCTAATGACAAGCACCCGGATCGGACACGCCGAAAAAGATTCGTTCGGCTAGTCCGCTCCCAGGTCGATCCCCAAATGAAGACGGCAAAAACTCAATGTAATTTCTGTACGTTGACGCGCGAGCAGTGTAACACTTGAAGTACATACCACAATTTGCTGACAAAAAACAAATTGCACACCGTGGCACGTGCAAACATTGACAAATCTCTGCCGTTCCATCTCTCGGCTTTGTCGCGCAGCTCTACAGTCTGACTTCTCCAGTAAAGCTCACTATCCCGATAATTTTCTAAAGGTACACCTAGTTATTTTGAAGGCGTTGTTTACCCACTTCATGTTTTCAAATGCACTGGGCGCCGAGTCCCATTCGCCATACTAGAGGCCAAGACATTTCTGCCAGTTTACCGAACTACCACTATATTTGCAGAAAAGTTTAATAGATTTCACTGACTGGCTTATGCTGCCTTTACCTACACAAAAAATGGCAATGTCGTCAGCATATGACAATACGCGCACTTCACTCGACAGTAGTTGAAACCCATGAATGCTTTGACTATTAAGAATATACCTACAAAAACATTCAATGAAAATGCAGAAAAGAAGGGGGGACAAAGGGCACCCCTGGCGCACAGCACGATGGACAGGGATACGTTCACCAACAGCTTTGTTTACAATAAGATTAGTAGTGCACCCTTTATACGCCATACGCACGCCCTCAAGAAGGACAGAACCTACATTTACATGTTCCAGGACATTAAAAAAAAGCTCGTGCGACACCTGATCAAAAGCTTTTTCTAGGTCGATCTGGAGTATTGCGACCACACGAGCCATACAATCACAGCATTCCAGCACGCTCCTAGCGGAATGTATATTTGACAGAATTGACCGCCCTTTTATTCTACACGTCTGGTGGGGTCCAACCACATTCTGGATAACTTACTGTAATCGCCTGGCCAGGATTTTCATTAAAATTTTGTAATCGACATTTGTTAGACAAATGGGGCGATAGGCCGATACTTGTCTCAATTTAATTCTATCGTCAGTTTTCGGGATAAGGACCGTGTGAGAGCGAGAAAACGAGGGTGGCAGCATTTTTTGCTCGTACGCTTCATTAAATACCTGACTTATCAAAGGGCTTATCTCAAGCTTAAACATCTTGTAGAAGGACGCACTGAGGCCACCTGGGCCAGGCGATTTTCCCGCATTTAATTCGTCTATTGTCCTTTCAATCTCACCAACAGTAATTGATTCTTCTAACCTTGACACTACATCGTCATCCAAACGCGGTAAAAAGCAGAAGAATTCTTTTTTGAAGTTATCTAAGTCTACAGGACGATAAGAAAACAAGTTTTTATAAAAATCACAAAAAGCGCGTTCTATTTCCACGAGTTCACTCGTCACCACCCCGCTACTCTCAATTTCTGCTATCTCATTGCGGGAAGCATATTTCTCTTCCCTCCCGAGTGCTCTCTTTGTTGGCGCTTCGCCCAGCAACATTTTCCCTGCTCGCGCCCGTACTAGTGCACCATGATATCGTTCTTTATCCAAGATTTCAAGCTGGGCTTTGACGGTGCAGATATCATATTTGAATACACCGGGCGTACGGCTTTCCTCACCAATCAAAATCTTAAGTGTGTTGCGCAGAAGTTCTTCCCGTTGTCTTGCACTATTCTGAATAGCGCTTCCTCGCTCCATGGCTATCATTTTAACTTCTTGTTTGAAAGTATCCCATTTTGCAGCATAAATATTTTCATCTT